TCTCGCACACCAATAGGCACACCTCTTTATTCTGAATGGTTCTAAATATATGCAATTCTGAGCGACTGGTGAGCAGAATGTGTGTCACAGGAAGGTCAGGCTCCCGAAGAGCCTGTGCAAGGGTTCGATGAACTCGGTTTCGGATGTGCATTCATCAAGGGCATCGACAACAAACGATAAAGGTGGACACCCGCGCAATCTGAGTCGAAGATTCCAGAGAAATTGGAGAAAAAGAGCCTCCATCTAGTCGCAGAGAGTCGTGTCTGGGTCTAGCAGAGTAGGATTGTTGCAGATAGCCCTGTTTACATCCTTCCGGATGCTGAGAAATTTGCTAGCAAGCTGGTAGACCAGCGTGACAAAGAAATATCCAGTTTGGTGTGCTTGCGCGAGAAAAGAAAAGTTCCTGCGAGCTGCTTTTCGACGTTCGTCCCCTCCGTCACTTTAGACCTCTCACTCTTTCAGCTACAATAAACGCAACAGTAGACTTTCCGACGTCCAATAGTGTATAGATGTGGTTGAGAAGGTCCACCCGGGTCTCTTGCAAACATTTCAGATAGGGCTGGTGTTCAGGGGAGTTAGAATCGACACTCTTGACAACGACCCGGGAGAGCTTGGCCCAAATTCTTTCAAACGATGGAAGGGCTGTTAATGAGGTCAGAGAACGAAAGAGGAACAAGATATGGGAATACTGACGTTGATCGCCACTCATTCAGGAAGGTTGTGATATAAATTGTAGGGTTCGAGGGCGGTTAGAATGCATCTGGGCAGTCCTTTTCTCGTAAGATGTGATTCAAAGCTTGACTTACAAGGTAAAGCTGAGGTAGGTTGTGAAATTCAGCTATGAAAAGCTCGCTGGGTGGTGGTGAAATACAGTTGAAGGACAAGCGGGCACTCATCTGGTTGCAAAAATTCCCATGTGTATTCTTGCATACCAGGGGTCCAGGAGGACACCAGACCATAGTAAGTGTGGACATCAACGATTGCTAGCTCGCATGGTCTACTGCACAGCCAGACAGACGTTGGTTCGTGTGCTGGATGCAGCACATAACCTCGTACCATATCAACCCTATCGGAACTCCTACACTATCTCCTGATGAACAAGTAAATGGTCCAGTGTTACTGCACTCGAGGAATTCAATTACTAGGGCCAATGGTTGGACGATCAACCATTTTTCCAGACAAATTCCTCGTAGACGGCTACAACATGCCATAATGCTCCTTTGATGAAATCGCCTGAGAATCTTTTGGACCAATCCCAAGAAGACATGAGTGCAGAGCAGCAGGAAAGCAAGGCCAAGTGAAAAATTTGCATGATTATCAAATGTCATTACTTCCGCAAACAACTCTAAGACGGCTTCAAATTGGGGCGCTACCTGTCAATTTGGCATGCGTTATAAGGAGCCGCCATCAACACGCAAGGGCCCCAATCCTTTTCTCCTTCTCGGTTTGTCTTTGGCTTCATTCGGCGTCTTCTTCTACATCGTCAAACGTCGAGAGACAGCTTATCCGGCATCGAAGCAGCCTAGACAACACGACAACCCTCTTATTCCTCCCCGACACCGAGATCAGTAACTTCAAACCAAATCAATCCAACATGGCAGAATCCACGATGTCGCCCGTTTTTGATGCCCAGAAGGTCACCGTCATTTATGTCCTGGGTGGGCCTGGAGCTGGCAAGTTCCCACTCAGAAACCAACCGTTGCGCATACGTTGGTCTGATAAGCGTCATAGGGAAAGGCACGCAATGTAGCAAGCTCGTTGACGCGTTTGGCTTTTGCCATCTATCTGGTTAGACCTTGTCACCTCTTTATCAGGACTGATGCGAATATGGGACCCAGCTGGAGACCTTCTACGCGAAGAACAAAACCGAGAAGGATCTCAATATGGTGAAATGATCCGAACGTATATTCGAGAGGGTAATATCGTCCCATCTCATGTCACCATGAAGCTTCTTGAGAATGCTATGGCCGGAGAGATGAAGAAAAAGACTGGAGATGGGTGGGTGGATGGCAAGGGTCGATTCTTGATCGATGGCTTCCCTCGGAAGTTGGATCAGGCTATTGGATTCGATGAAACGGTACGACAGAATGTTGCTCACTTCACCATGCCACGATACTGATTTCAGGTTCCAGGTATGTCTCGCTTCATTGGTCATCTTCTTCAACACATCGGAAGATGTGATGCTTCAACGCCTGCTGGAGCGCGCAAAAACCAGCGGACGTGAAGACGACAACGTCGAAACTATTAGAAAGCGTTTTCGTACGTGATACCTACTCTTGTTTTTCCTCAAGTTACAACAAGATCAGGCACGTATAATGAGCAAACTATGCCCGTGATAGAACATTACAGGGCACTGAACAAGGTTGCAGAGGTGAGCAAAGGATCATATTTATTTTCCTCTGCTCAGTCCTAGACGTTTAGATCGATAGCACGGCAGCAGTCGAGGAAGTCTATCATGCGGCGCGTGCTACTGTTACCAAACTCTTTTCTTGAGTTATACCCAGAATACCTCCTTAGACATTGAAATCCGAACACTTTTTGTCTTCGACTTCAAGTGCTGTTGGGATATCGCTCTCAAGTAAACTCAGTAACATAATGTACCACTACCAGGGGTAGAATTGATGCTAAATGCACTTGGTCTGTTTCACAGCTAGCACGTTGGTTACAGTCATTTGTGTTCTGGGGTACCACCGGGCTCGATCACGAACCACATGCTACTACCTTTTTTTTTAAAAAGAAAATGCAGTTTATTGTCTTCTCAGGATCTACTACGCCTTTCCACTTCGATGCACCGATGATGACGACGTTGGAGGAGAATCGTTGGTGTTGTCTCCTATGCTTGCTCGATGTTGTGCCACCTGGTGGTACACGACACCAAGCTTAACTCGCACTTGCGTACTCGGGCATACCTCACGGCAGACTCAAGACCCACTGTCAACCAACTCGCGACAGGTACCTAACTAGGTGCTGACCTTGCTTGACTGACTTTCAAGGGCATGGGAACCGGCAGAACTGCGGAGTCTGCATTGAGGACGCAGGGTCGGTGGAAAAAAATTGGGCTATCCCTTCTTATCCTTGTATATTTCCTCAGCAAGTCCACCTCAACTGCAGTACTTGACACCATTAACCTCCAGTAAAATGGCACGGGCAGGGCGGCTTGTTACTAGTACCAGACGGACCAGAAAAAATAACTCCCTCGTTCGGACGTTCAAAGACCATGAAGACGTGGTAGTCGCAGTCGCAGTCTTCCCGGATGGACGACGTATGGTGACGGGCTCGTATGACAAGATGCTTCGTTTGTGGGACTTGACAGAAGGCGTTTTGTTGAAGAAGTTGGAGGGGCATACCGGCAGAGTGGGGGGGCTGGCAGTATCACGAGATGGCCAATTCATTGCGAGTAGCTGCATTAATGGAGAGCTGATCATCTGGCACGGAGACGATGGAACTCGTAGCCGGACCTTGAACGCTCACTCGATGGCTTTGCTCAGTTTGGACTCTTCTCCAGACAACACAATACCGGCAACTGGTTCATATAATGAAACGACGAAGCTCTGGAGGATAGAAAATTGGCAACCTCTGGGATACCCGATCACTTACTCTGTGGCTCCATCCACCAAATCAGTTATATACTGGATTCGCTATTCGCCGTCCGGCGAACATCTTGCCATCGCAACAAAGAATAATATCCAGATATGGAATCCCAGCACGAAGCAATGCGTCGTAGCTTTTAGGGCTCACGCAGCAGTGGAAGGTGCCCTCAACAGCACACTCCAATGGACGCCAGATGGGAGACGCCTTCTCTCAGCAGGCTCAGACCTTGATCCCAATATATTGGAGTGGGATGTACACACCTGGCAACAGGTTGGCGATCCCTGGAAGGGGCACACTGCCCGCATCAGCGACATTGCCATTGACACCACTGGCACTCTTGTCGCCTCTTCATCTGTTGACAAAGACGTCCGCCTTTGGAAGCTTTTGGATCAGCAGACTATTGCCATATTCAAGCATTCTGACAGAGTACTTTGTGTCACCTTCACCCTCGATAGCATGCACGTCCTCAGTGGGGGCGACGATGCTAAGATCTCAGAGTGGGCAGTACCTCGGGACGCTTTGCCGGGAGACGAACAGGAGCTACAGCAGGTAAGTTCACGTTTATTTACCTGTCCCCTGCTATTTCATCCCACATCTTCTCAAAGGCTCGAGACTATGAACTGAACGTACGTGTCCACCCTTGGCTCGTGTAACAAAATTTGAGTGTGTATCGTGATCGCGTAGATTCTCACTATACACACGGCAGTTCGTGGTGCATGTCTCGAGGGGAAATTGCTTGCCGCTGAGCAGCTCCTCACACAAGAGATCGATGCTGATCCTATCAAGCACATACCCTATGCCAATCGTTTTTTTGTCATGTCGCGACAACTTGATTGGGAATCCGCGCTTCGTGATGCAAATCAGGTGCACTCACCCATGATGACCCTCAAGTAGGCTAACTTGATCATGACTTAGTCTATCATCATCAAGCCCTCGTTGACAGGCTATATCTCCAAGGGCATTGCCCTCTGCGGGAAAAGGCAGTTTCAGGAGGCAACCACAGCGTTTGATACTGCGTTTACGTTTACGAAGAAAGATTCATCTTTGAATCACCTACTCTTTTTGATCAAAGCAGGTCACATCCTTCTTACACAATCTACGCTTCCTTACATCTTTCAGGTCATTGCGCTATTCAATGCAGATGAACACGATCAAGCGGTACAACGCATCGGGGAGCTATCTTCTACTCCCCATAATGATCCTATTCCTTCTCGTATTGTTGAAGTGAGTATTGTACCTCAATCAGTACCAGGCTCGGCTACTGACACTATCTTTCTGTGCTTCGCACATCAGGCATATCTACATGTCGAACTGGGCAGGATTGCTTTGCGGGATAGCAAAATTACCGATTTTCACGCACGCGATATAGCTAGTGCTGTTGACCACTTCACTACCGCCGTCAACGCTAGCTCTTTCTTTTTTGGATTACCAATTCATACCAAATACGAGGTATTTATCGAGGTGTGTTAATACAATTTAACTGAAAATCACTTTCATCCTCAACTTCATTGTTTGCAGCTCTTCGGGTGGGATCTAAAGTCCTTGTGGGAAACCGCGAATAAACAACAGTGTCGTGCACTCTTGCTGGCTGGCAAACACGGAGAAGCTTTCAGGACATTCTATTACATGATGGACGGGTGCGATGAGTCTACGAAAGCCAGCTTACGGACTTGGTTTACTGGTAAGTCTCCAATAATATCATCTGCTACTGTTCTTAACCGCCCCCAATCAGCACTCTAGTCGATATGAAGCATATTCTATATTGCTAATACAGATGGAGCCATCGCCACGAACGATTGTCGGAAAACAGTATTTCGCACTCTTCCGCCTGCAGTAGAGCAGTCTGGCAATTCGATAGCCACTGGATAACGGAATGTTATGAACCTCGAGATCTTGGCGTCTCGCCTTCAGATCGATCATATGTCAGGTTGGCGCGCGCATTTGAATGAGACGCGTCAGTCACGTGCTTTTTATATAAACAAAAACACTTTCATAGGAAATCTAAGTTGTGTTATACCGACTTGCGTGACCTTTGGATTGATCAAT